ATATATAATTTGTATTCTCAAATACCCCTTGGTGTGGCTCTGCCTGGTCAACCTACCAAGAATCTCACTTTAAAAAAAATAGTATGGGGAGCTGGGAGTGGTAGCACATGCCTGTAGTCCCAGCACTTGGGAGGCAGAGGCGGATCTTTGTGAGTTCAAGGCCAGCCTGGTCTACATAGTGAGTTCCGGGATAACTGGGGCTACAGGGAGACCCTGCTTCACAAAGACAAAAAAAAAAATTATGGGACTACAGAGATGGCTCAGCTGGCTGTTCTTGCAGAAGACCCAGGTTCGATTCCCTGTCAACATGGCAGCTAACAGCCAACAGTAACTCCAGTTCCAGGGAATCTGATAACCTCTTCTCACCTCTTCGGGCATTGCATGAATGCAGGTGCACTTACATACATGTAGGCAATACAATCACACACATAAAAATAAATAAAAATGAAAAATTTTAATTTATTCTTTTAAATTTTTTTACTTGTATGAGTGTTTTGCCTTCATCTATGTAAGGATACCTGTGTCATACAATGTGTGAGGATGTCAGAAGAGAGCGTTGGATCCCCTGGAACTGGAGTCATGGATGATTGTGAGTTTCCATGTGGGTGCTGGGAATTAAACTCGGTCCTCTGGAAAAGCAGCCAGGGATCTTCACCACTGAGCCATCTCTCCAGTCCCAAGAATCACACACGTAAAAGGGACTGACTCTCCCCTTCCTAGGAGTCATCAGTTTCCAGTAATTCCCCAGCTAGGCCTGGGGTGTCTTATGTCTCCTCTTCTATGCTGGAATTCTCACTGACTTGAGCATATGTAGGTCTTGTCCGTGGTGTCACCTTTGCTGTAAGTTCATGAGTAAGTATACAGATTTCTGGAAAACTCTATTCGCGCGTGATCACCCAGCATCTTTGGTTCTTGCAATCTTTTCATCTCCTCTTTCTCAATGATCCCCGAGCCTTTGGAGGTAGAAATTTGATATATGATATTCTATCAGACATATGCACTCTACATTCTCTTACTGTTTGCATGGTCATCAGCTGGTTCGGCAACTTGTAGATGGCCAGGAGGGGAACGGCTGCATGGAAGGGGAGATTAAATACAATAAGGAAGAAAGAGATTAATGGAGTCAGAGGAGTTAAATGAGTGAGGGATGGCTGGACAGGGAAGAAGAGGGTGCTTGGGGTGGGATCACTAACACTAGACGTTTTTTGAAAAAGTCATAAGAAGCCTACCACTACAGAAACTTCTTAAGTGCATACATATACACTATATAAAGAGAGAAATGGGGTCATATAATGACAGGGGGACATTGCCCCTACTATGCTACCAAAGTTTAGCAAATAAAAAGCCCAGTGTGAAAAATGGACTCCTTCTTTTGAAACTGCTGACCAGGGGTACCAGAGACCGTCAAATAATATTAGATATTGCCCCTGATCCTTGTTACCCACCAGAATTTGTCAGTAAATCCCTAGTTCTGAAGATACTGCACACACGAGCTGTTGAACAAACAAGGAGAAATCAAGCTGGTACAAACTCCAAGGCTTCATCTCTTCCTGCTGGCTTTCATAGTGCTGGAGGGTGCTATGTTACCAGAAGAGAAAAGTAATCATCAGCCTTGCCCAGCAGTGAATCCTACAAGCTACAACAAGTGTCCTGGCAACATATGCCCACTGGTGCAATAGTGGCGTGAATATTACTGGAGTAACCAACTACTTTCTAATTGGATTTTAAGTCAGTTTCACAAGATGAAGCTCGTAGCTAACACTGACATCAAGGCTAGGAACCTGTGGTTAGACAGGTGACAGGCCACATGGGAGACCCTACTGCTATTACTCCACTAAATAGACACAGTATAAAGTCAACTCCTAATGACTTACTGTTATACCCATAGATTAATGCATCTCGCAACTGTCACCAGAGAAGTTTCCTAATGTTACTGGATTTTTAGAATTCAATTCTTTTAA